TCAGAGCTAGCACGATTCTCCCAGTCATAAATCAGTACCTCCAGAAAAACAGGTCAACAGGTCGACCAAATATTTCTCTAATATTCGGTACAAATCCAGATCAGACAAAAGATCCAGGTTTCTATATTTTACAGAACATTAACAGCCTCTCTTGTACCAGGCTGGATCCTGGTCCACCCAGTTGCCCAGAATTTTAAGGAAACATTATCCAGATGTCTCCAACTTTTTTCCCTTTTCTTTTTGTATTTACTTTTTCTACCTTTAAAAAAACACCTTAATAAAAGAAGCTGCTTTCTCATAGATGTAATTATATATTCCAGGATCTAAAGATGCTGAGATACATTTAAGATATTTCTAAGTCTTTTAACAAGCAAGAAAAGAGAGGGCTACCTTTTTGAGTGTGCACACACGAATCCTCATTCTGGATTATATTTTGGGGTCAAAAAATCGCCCTTGTGTGTTTGTAGCGAGATAAATGGAGACCGTTTGGTGTGGTGGTTAAGGCAGCAGTGTTTCTGAACCTTAGCAAATTTAAGTTGCCTGGACCAACTCTGTGAATTCCCCAGCCAGCCATGATGGCTGAGGAATTCTGGGAGCTGAAGTCCACACATCTTGCCAAAGATGAGAGATTTTAGCTTAAGGAGCTGGCTTAGAAACCAGGAGACTGTGATTTCCAGGCCTGCCTTGGGCATGAAAGCCATTTGGGTGACTTTGGAGCCAGTCACTCCCTCTCAGCCCAACCCATCTCACAGAGTGAATAGCAATTTAACAGAGTTGGAAGGAACCTGGGAGGTCTATAATAAATAATAATAATAATAATAATAATAATAATAATAATAATAATAATAATAATAATAATAATAATAATAATAATAATAATAATAATAATAATAATAATAAAGTTGGAAGGGACCTTGGAGGTCATCGAGTCCAACCCCCTGCTAAGGCAGGAAACCCTACACCATTTTGGACAAATGGCTGTCCAGTCTTTTCTTAAAAACTTCCAGTGTTGGAGCATTCACCGCTTCTGGAGGCAGGTTGTTCCACTGGTTAATTGTTCTGTCAGGAAGTTTCTCCTTAGTTCTAGGCTGCTTCTCTCCTTGATGAGTTTCCATCCCCCTGCTCTAGGAGGAGACCCTATACAATTCCAGACATTTGCCTGTCCAGTCTCTCCTTAAAAAAACCTCCCATGTTGGAGCATCAACAACTTTTGGAGGTAAGAAGTGGTTGTTGGGGGGAAACACAGGAAGCAGAAGAATTAAGTATGCCTGCAGGCTTGAATTATAATAAAGGCAGGATAAAAATACAATGCTATGTGGGGCAGTTTCCCCCCAATCCAGATACAGAACAAATGCAAAGCACAAGCCACGATCAGTGGTCTGCTCATTTCATGCTAGGCTTGGGACAAATCACATTTGCCAATTATCCACACTTCGATACATACGTAGTTCACGTCCTCAATCAGCAAACTCAAATGTTGAGCCTCCACTCTCCACATAGGCATAGCCTAAGATTTGACACTAGTATCTCTCTGCCCCCAAAGGCTAATCTGTCCAATGAGGGTGGTGTGCTGGGAGGCTGAGATGAGGGGGTGGTGGAAATCAGAACAGATTTTCTGGAGGAGAGGTATAGATCAGTTAACTCAACTGTTGGCTGAGAAAAGGAGTCAGTTGGAAAATCCTACTGTTGTTACCTCAAGGCAGGCCAGCCCCTCTAAATGTCAGCAGTAGGTGGCAGGCTATTCTCTTGCAAGCACAATAATTGGGGTAGGGGGGTGGGGATTTCTTAAATCAGAGTTTCAGCCAGCCATGCTCTCTTTTAAGGCAAACGTTATTTCAGAACACTCCACTTTTCCAGCCCATTGGTATAGCCCAGGGGTAGGCAACCTTGGCTCTTTTATGACTCGTGGACTTCAACTCCCAGAATTCCTGAGCCAGCTATGCTGGTTCAGGAATTCTGAGAGTTGAAGTCCACGAGTCATAAAAGAGCCAAGGTTGCCTACTCCTGGGTATAGCCAGAAAGCATCAACCCCATGTATTTGGCATTGCCAAATTGGGCTGTTTGTGCCTCAAGATTCTTAAACATAGGAGAATCCTGGGATTTGTAGTCCCAACTGAGCCAGAGTGTTGGGGTAAGGATAGAAAGGCCTTCCTTAAGAACTCTACAACTTTGCCAGCATCCAAAAACTGGCGCAGTCTATCTCTGGATGTGGCTGCTGTTTGTAGCCTTCCATTTAAAAGTTTCCTAGGACACCCCAAAATGTCCAACTAGACAGGAAGTCAAATGAGAGATATTTAAATAGGATAAGAGAGTCCTTGTTTAGCGACCACAATTGTGGCTTGCGATTATGTGAGGCACTCCCAAAGTGAAGCAATGACTGTGCTTTCCTCTGTTCACAGGCCTATGAAGGTCATGAATACAATTGGGAGAGTTACTTTTTCATCCCTGTGGGAACCGTGAACGGTCATTAAAAGAGGCAGTCACTAAGCAAAGACTACCTGTTAGAATCCCATGCATTTGTCATAAGTGTCACTCAGACCCTAGCTCCTACGAATACTTTTTCCCAAAACATTTTCTAATATGGATTATTAGATCAAATTTCACTGCCTTTCCTAGTTAAGTTCAAGAGAGAGAGAAAAGGAGTTGCAACACTCTTCTGTCGTAATTCTGTCATCCATTCTAAACACACTTAAAATTGGAAAGCAAAATTTAAAAAACCCACTTAGGATACAGCAATGAATTCCACTAGAAATTCTTGATACTGGGGCCCATGACAGTATAGCACCTAAAAGGCAGAATGATTGAGATCAACTGTTCTGCTTGATTTATTCTTGGCAGATTCTTAAGGTACAAGTTAAGATGAAAACAGACCCAAAACACAGGCCAACCAATTGGAACCCTTTAGGCTGGGTTCACACAACAGCTGCAACTAATTACTGAACGAACCCCTCTGGATTTGCAAACTACATTTGAGCCCCCTCCTAAACCACAATTGAAGCATGTGGAATAAATGCAATTGCTCCATCTTTCATCAAGGTTGTTGTGTGAATGCTTGTTAGGGAATAATTGTCTTTATCAACTGAAACTAAATACACACGTGTTGGGTACCTTAACATTTAAAAAAAAAAAATCCAGAATGAATCCAATGCTCAGCACCAGTTTATGGCAAGAGATGGTTGGTTTGTCCCCAAAGATGGGGAATTAAATGTAAAATGTAAAATAGTTTTTCTGATCCTTAACCAGATCTCTACCTAGTCCGTGTTACTTTTGCCGTGGCAATACAATTCTAGAAAGTCCAAAGGGATGTGGTTTGGGATAGGATTAGTGGCAGAGGATCGGTTGCAATATGTGGTCTCTGTCTGTTAGCGCTTGGTGGCTTTCACTTTGATTAGAAAGAATTCTACCTGAAATATCAAAGAATTAACATCCGCATAATACTGGCTAACTAGGCAAGTTAAGCATGAAAATAGGCTTTTCTCCCCTTTTTTCTACCAAAAACACCCAATTCACAGAGCAATTTCTCTCCTAGTCAAACTTTCATGGAACATGCGCACTTAACAGCCTCCTCTCAGTTGCTTGTTTATGCTACGGCATCGTTTATTTAATCACAGTTTACTGAATTAACCAAATCACTTTGATCCACCCAAGTGTACTTCAGACAAAGTCCTCCAGCTGGGTTGGCGCAACCCAGAACTGCCAACGAGCTAACAGTCTTTTGCTTGATAAAATAAAATCCAGCGGTGTGCATGGTTTTGCATGCTTCTCTGAACATTTGACTTCCTTGAACATCTAACCAGAAATAAAATTTGCAAGTTAAACTAAACCTAGTGCCTATCCTTAAGTCACTTCAAGATTTGGAGGGTCCAACATTTTACTACCGTCACACAAACCTACCGTATTGGCTTCCCACTTTGAACCGCTTAAAAGATGGAATAAAACATAAGAGCAAGGAGCCAAGGATGAATATTGTGCATTTCAACAGAGAGAATTACGAATTGCTCCCTGCTCGCTCCTCAGATCACCAGGACGAGGTTTTTTTTGTTGTTTTTTTTGAGTTTCCATTTCTACCTGCCTAAGCCACAGGTTGGATCCAAGTCATGCAGGAACCTATCATTAGATGTCCAAAGAACCAAATCACATCGCAAATCAGGCATAAAAGAAGAAAATGAATTTTTAAAAAAATCAATTAGGTTTGAGCATTACAATAACCACAAAAATCCACGGGTGTGCAACCTCGTTGTTGTTGTTTTTTTAACCTTTTTATTAGACAGAGGGTTTCCTTAAAATGCCATAACAAGTCACAGTGATTATGGATGATTTTACTGAAATGTAAATATAGTGGGGAGTTGGGAAGGAGTAATGTGTTTTGCCTTTTTTTTTTAATACCCTGGTCCACAAAACCATCTTATCATTTCAAGATGCTTAAAAAAAAAAAAAAGGATGCTACTCTCTCTCGTCTCCTTTCAAAGCAGAAGGAGTTTGGTTGATGTCTGTCCGTTAATCCTGGAAACAAAAGGATCTGTCCATCAATGATGTTCACAAGAGAACCATATTTTTATATATATGTAGCTATACGCAGGTATATATATATAAATATATATATATTCTATTATTTCTTTTTCTTTTTCCTCTATGCAAAGTCTTAATAAAAGAGATCAGCCATTTAAAAAAAAAAAGGAACTACAAAGAAGCAACACATCAAAAAAAAAAAAGTAAAAAAAAAAGGGTTGTGGTGGTTGTGGTTGAAAGGAAAAGCCAAAGTCTTAAGAACTTTATTACAGTCTTATTTCACTGATTACATGTCAAAAGAAAAAAAAAATCACCGTGAAGGACAGTTTATTGATTTATTTTTCTCTGATTATGGGAAATTCAAGTGCAGAAGCAGCCCTTATGGGTTTTTCTATCCCCCCCGCCATGCCCTCCCTCCCATGACCGAGTTTCTCGAGAGAAATCAAAACAGGAGAAAAAAAAAAAAACTGGGGGACAGGTGGAGGGAGGAAAGGTTATTTCTGCCTGTTCCCCGGCCTCTCTCTTGCGCCATCCTCTCGCGGAGGGTCAGTGTGTCCAACCCTCTCACTCCTAACATCTCTGCCATGGGGCACACTTGGAATGTATGGAGCTTTATCCAGTTGTTTTGCAGCTGATTCTACGCCAGCTTCAAGGTGCTTACGGGAAAAGGGGGCATGGTAACCATGGTGACTGGGTTCAAGACCGTTTGGCCCACCAACTGTGGGTGGTGGACAACTTGAGTTCCAACGCCGGGCTTCGCCATGACCGCTGGCTGGCCGAGGCTGGCAGTTCCATTCACTTGCTGGTGAGAGATGGCGTGCGCAATGTGGCCCACCACAGGCTGGCTGACGGCCACGGGCTGTGGGTACAGAGGGAGCTGCTGCCCCAGGTGGGCTACGTGGTTGAGGGTGGCCGGGTGCACAGTGATGTGGCCGATGGGCTGAGCCGTGGTCGTCAGCTGGACTGGGCTGGAGGTGGACGAGGGTGCGAGGTGGGCAATGTGCTTGGGCTGGGGGCCCGGGAGAACATGGTTAACAGTCTGAATGACGGAGGCGTGAGTAGTGGCCGTATGGGCGATAACAGTCGATTGCACGGTGGAGGCCGCCATGAGGTGAGTCTGTGCAGGGACAATTGCCTGGGGCTGGACCAGGGCTTGGGGCTGGAGGGGGGGCGGGGCGTGGGGCGGGACATGCTTCTGGGCCAGCGGCAGAACCGAAGGGCGATGGGCCGCAGCAATGGGGGCCACCGCTTTCAAGAGCTCAGGATGCTGGCGATGCACAAGCTTCGGCAACGAATTCACAGGGCTGTTGTCTTCCATGTCCTCATCCATATTGTCTTCTCCTTCTGCAGGGAGATAAATGAAGGCAGATGTAAAATTCTGGCTGAGGGAAAGAGGTGGGAACCCACAGGATGCTAAACCAGGTCATCCAAACACTGAAATTGCTATTTCTTACACCACGTGTTGTAAACTGACAGAGTCACTTAGGTGCGATAGAAGAAGGGTAGAAATTTAATAGATGATAGAGATAGATATAAATGATAGATAGATAGATAGATAGATAGATAGATAGATAGATAGATAGATAGATAGATAGATAGATAGATAGATGATAGATAGATAGATGCAGAAAAATGATAGATCATAGATCATAGATAGATAGAGATGGAGATAGAGATAGATGATATAGATACATTAGAAAGAGAAATATAGATGTTATATAGATGATATATATATATACATACATACATATGTTTGTGTATATTGTGTGTGTGTGTATAGAGATAGATAGATAGATGGATGGATGGATGGATGGATGGATGGATGGATGGATGGATGGATGGATAGATAGATAGATAGATAGATAGATAGATAGATAGATAGATAGATAGATAGATAGATAGATAGATAAGCTAGATAGATAGGATATAGATGTACATAGCTAGAGAGAGAGAAAGAAACAGAGATTTAAAAAATTTTCAGGCTCAACCTTCCCCTCCCTTTTGATTTCATGCATGGAGAAAAGAAGCATATCAGAGGGAAATGCTTTTAACCCAACCTTTTTATTTTATTTCTTTACAGGACCTCTATGGCCGCCTATCTCATATAGTGCTTTTAGGTAGCTTACCACACTCTGTAAAAAATACAGCTAAAAACAAAAGTACTCTCCACACACCTCCAGAAACTAGACCAAAGAGCCTCCCAACCCAACTCCCATCCTAAGGTTGGGGGAAGAAGTCTTCTGCTACTTTGATCTCAGGTGAGAGGCTGTTCCAAAGGGCTGGGGCAGCCAACCAAGGTCCCATCCGGGAGCAACATTTAAAGGAGGGACCTGAAGAACGCTCGTCCTATGTAAGGATGGGCAGATACCTTCAAGGAGAGGCAGTCCTGCAAATAACCTGTAAAATATAGGTTGAAATGAGGGCCCCCTGGTGCTCTCTGAGCTTGATTGTTGTCTTGCAGACGTTTCATTACCCAATCTAGGTAACATTATCAATGCTGGATCCTGGCTTGTACCATGTAAAACTTATAAAGATGGCTAGACAATCTGTGCCTTGTTGGGTCATCCTTTCAGAGGCTATTTCCTTACCAGATTCCTCAATGCTTTCAACAATGGCACGGCTGCTAATGTACTTGGTGAGTTCTTAAAAAAATCAGGGAGGTACTCAAGAGATGGATCTGCCTTGAAAGTAGCCCATGTTGAACTGTATAGCACAGTTAAACATCAACCGCTGACTGCAGGAAACATTTGATGACATTTTGTATTATGTCATAACACGTTTTATAATATATGCCAAATTTCAATTCCGTGGGAGTCCTGGCTCCTGGATTTTGAAACGTTCTGTAAATGAGTACCTTCATTCAAAACGTTTTGCCCTACGGTGGACCGTTTTACTCAGTTAAAGGTTACAGACCGGAGAGTTTTGGCAGTATAGAGATAACCAGCACTTTAAGTTGCAACTGCAAATAAACTGAGAGCCAGTGCAGCTCATACAGTAGTAGGGTTACTTAGATGAGTAAAAGAACATCTCTTTCTATTTATTTATGTAATTTTTATTTATTAAATTTATATGCCGCTCATCTCACCATTGAAGTGACTTTTTCAGTGCATGAAGATTTATTTGCAGTGCACATATTTTTTCTTTCTTTCTTTTTCTTTCTTTCTTTCTCTCTCTCTCTCTTTTCTTTCTTACCTTCCATCCATCCATCCATCCATGGAGATTCTCAGCCACCCAGGTCATGGTAGTCCCAAAGGTGCTTTTTCAAAAGGCAACTGGACTTTGTTTTTCCTTGAAGACATTTCACTTCTCATCCCATAAGCTTCTTCAGTTCTGATCGAAGAACTGATGTCTTCAAGGAAAAACAAAGTCCAGTTGCCTTTTGAAAAATCACCTTTGGGACTTCCTTCCTTCCTTCCTTCCTTCCTTCCTTCCTTCCTTCCTTCCTTCCCTTCCCTTCCCTTCCCTTCCCTTCCCTTCCTTTTATATTTTATTTATTTTTAATTTTTATCTTGTCATGAAATGGAATCTGGCCATGAAATGGCCCCAAAACATCCCAGCGTACCTGAAGCAGTTGAAGTGGACGCCTGATCATCTTCGGGTTGAACTGTCTGGCGGATTATCCGGTCAATTTCCAAGATATCCATCCACTGACTCAACTCATTCTTCAGCTCTGCCAAACGTTGCTGCGTGGCAATTTTTTCCCTCGCCAGCCGCTCCATCTCATGCTCGTATTCTTTCTCTTTGCGTTTCAAGGTCTACACAAAGGAAAGCAAAATGTGAAATCAAAAGAAAGCGGTTCCCAAGTGAGAAAGTGGGGAAAAGAGACTTTTTCTCCTTGAACAAATGAAGCATTCCACACAAACAAAGCTCTGGGAGAGAAGAAAATCCGATCTCATGAACTTTGCTCGATCGCAAATTACAGGAAATCCTCACTTTCTTGGCACACCCAGATAAGGAACAGCTGAGCTACAAAATTTTGGTTAGCACACTTGCAAGAATTTAAGTCATTCAACAAAGGCCCGGATTTTTCATGGACCTTTTGAAACTAAAGTGTTTTAGAAGAAACAGCTCAAAAGGAACATGGAATGCCTCTTCTGAGAGGTTGCCACTTCCAACGATGCTTTCTCCACCAGAGGCCTCTCCTAATGTTTATGATTTCATCTCCCATCAGCCTCCGCAAGCAGGATCAATGGCTCACATAGGACAAAAAACAATTTGAGGACCCAGGATTGGGAAATTGATTTAAGAAGTGGCATCTACCCTGTGTTGCATGTGGGAATGCCTCTTTTACATTCCTGTTGCAACAACTAAGTACACAGAGAAGAGTGAAATAGTGCTGTTTTTTTCTTCTCTTACGCAATGACGGTGACCAGCAACAAATCAATCAGGATTACTTAAGACAGGCCTTGATCTCCATGCCAAGCTAAGTGTTCTGCTAGCACAGTGTTTCTCAACCTTGACAATTTTAAGGCATGTGGACTTCAACTCCCAGAATTCCACAGCCAGCATTGCTGGCTGTGGAATTCTGGGAGTTGAAGTCCACATGCCTTAAAATTGTCAAGGTTGAGAAACACTGTGCTAGCAGATAGAACTACAGGTAGTCCTCAACTTACAACAGTCCACTTAGTGAGCGTTCAAAGTTACAACGGGGCTGAAAAAAGTGACTTTTTCGCACTTACGACCATGGCAGCATCCCCAAGGTCACGTGATCAAAATTCAGACGCTTGGCAACCGGCTCGTATTTATGACAGCTGTAGTGTCCCGGGGGTCATGTGATCACCTTTTGCGACCTTCTGACAAGCAAAGCTAACGGGGAAGCCAGATTCACTTAAACAATGGTATTGCTAACCTAACTACGGCAGTGATTCACTTAACAACTGTGGCAAGAAAGGTCGTAAAACGGGGCAAAATGCACTTAACTGTCTCGCTTAGCAACAAAAACTTTGGGCTCAATTGTGGTTGTATGTCGAGGACTACTTGTACACAGATTCCGGGGGGGGGGGCGGAAATGAGTATTTAAGAGGTTTCCATTATTCAGGTCCATACTGGCTTTGGTGCACAGCAAATTCAAATACAATTTGAATTTCCACTGGGAAGGAAGGAAAAGAATAAGAAACGAGCAAATACAGGGCTGATTCAGGATTTTCTTCCCTGCAAACAATATCTAACATTTCACCTAAGAGTACATTTGGCCCCCTCTGGAGCCTGAGAGATGAAGGAATCAGAGGCTAACCAAAATTGGAATTGACGGTGTTTTAATGGTCCAAGGAACCGGATGAATGAGCTTATGAGGTCACAGCTCTACTCCGACATGATTCAGTTACGCTCTGCTTGTTCGGCCGATTAAGGGACAACTGCTTGAAGCTGAATGAAGTGCAAGCATATTTATATAACACAACTGAGGGAGGTTTTTTTGACTCAGCCCTTCAAGTCCTATGATTGCACAGCTGGCCTGCCATCACTGAGGAAAGAAACATGGCTGCTTTTAAAGAGATGCAACTGTTGTGCCTCTGTGCTCACCCACATCCTTTTGGGGAATTACATTTGCCGAGCCCTTTTATGACTTGTGGACTTCAACTCCCAGAATTCCTGAGCCAGAATGGCGTTTTAGAACAGAGGTGGGGAACCATGGCCCTTTTATGACTTGTGGACTTCAACTCCCAGAATTCGTGAGCCAACATGGCTGGCTCAGGAATTCTGGGAGTTGAAGCCCACAAGTCATAAAAGGGCCAAGGTTCCCAATCTCTGCACTAAAAAGAGATTTACCCTGTAATTTGAGAGTTGTTGTTTTTTTAAATGCCCCTCTTCCAAATTGAAACACACATCTGCAATCACTGCTGAGCACATCTGCAATTGCTGCTGAGCATTCCTGAGCAGCCCCTTATGATAATAAAAAAAAATCAATGTAATGAAAGGGAAAAGAGATCTGGTTTCAGAAATCTTGGCAACGGATAGGCTGATTTTAACATCCAACTGATTTCCAAGTTCATTAACGAGGAGCTTTCTCAATCCTCTGAATGCATCAGTCTCCTAAAAACAAAAGAATGTGCCAATTTTATGCATTTTTAATCCCTGACAAACTGCCATTCTTTTCCCAAGCTCTAGAAAGCCTGTTTGGGAGCTACACTAGCCATGCACTGAGGTCAGCCGTACAAAACTGTCATTTAAGGGAAGTGAATGTAAGTCTTGTTTTCTTCCTTATGTGCTAATTCCCTACCACAAAGCAAACCGAGGATGGAGAACCCACCTCAACATAATTTTCCTATCCTAAGGGATCCAGTTCTGACTCAGATTAAGAAACTTCATGAGGACTAGGATCTTGAAAAGAGGAAAGGTAGGAATGAGCTGAAGGAAGTGGTGCCTTGGCAGGCCCGATTCCCCCTTTTCTTTAGCAGAAATGGGATGATGCTGTGGGAAACATCAAAGGAGAGCCGAAAATGTCTTCTCCAAGACATTCCCTTTGGTTGGAAGTCTGTAACTCGGCTCACACAAGCCAGTGCTGTACATAAGGGCTGTTTGGGGGCGGCAGCACTGGTCTTACAAGTGGGAGATTCCAGAGAGACAGTTGAGCTGGTTTTGAAACAGGTGACTGGATAGGAGAGTGTCCTCCATCATCTGCCTAAATAATGAGAACAGATATGGGATGGGGCCTGTACCTGGGTCTCTATGGTGATAGCTCCCCAAATGAATCCAAAAAAGATAGTGGAAGCTAGGAGATGAGTTCCAGGTCTTTAGCTGTATTGATTAATCATGGTTGGTGTAGCAGTGGATGAATTTTGTCTGAAATGGAATAGGGTTTCCTGGTTGAGCAGGGGGGTGGATTAGAATAGAGGTCCCCAACCTTTTGGGCACCAGGGACCGGTTCCGTGGAGAGAGGTTTTTTCATGGACCGTTTTCTGGCATGCCGCGGACCAGTGCTGGTCCACGGACCGGGGGTTGGGGACCCCTGGACTAGAAGACCCCTAAAGTCCCTTCCATCTCTATTACTCTGTTATTCTGAATGCACAGGACAATTTCTTGGGGTCTTTTTCTTTGACCCCATTTAGTCTCCTCTTAAAAACCTAGTTTCAAGCAGTTCCCACCAAACTGGCTGAGATTGGATGATCTCAAAAAGCTATCCATAGTTGGTCCAGACTAGTTCTTGGATGGGGAACCACTAGGAGATCCCAGAGCGGTGTCTAAACTAGGAAGTAAGGAAAAGATTTTCCTGGCAGTGGCAAACCATGAGTTAGGTTTGTGAAGCTGCTAGGTATCTAGTTTAGCTTGAAGGAGGCAATACGGGCAGTCCTCAACTTACAGCCATTCATTTAGTGACTGTTTGAAGTTACAACGGCACTGAAAAAAGTGACTTACAACCGTTTTTCATGCTTATGACCATTGCAGCATCCCCATGGTCATGTGATCAAAATTCAGGTGCTTGGCAACTGACTCATATTTATGACGGTTGCAGTGTCCCAAGGTCATGCGTGACCTTCTGACAAGCAAAGTCAATGGGGAAGCAAGATTCACATCAGCAACCACGTTACTAACTTAACAACTGCAGTGATTCACTTAACAACTGTGGCAAGAAGGGTCGTAAAATGGGGCAAAACTCACTTAACCACTGTCTCGCTTAGCAAAATAAATTTTGGACTCAATTGCTGTCGTAAGTCAAGGACGATCTGTGAATTGTTTAGACGAGTCGGTAAACTACAAACCTCGTTGCATTAAAAATGATTAAACATTATCGTTTTGTATTAAGCATCTCTTAATGAACACAATCCAGGCCTGAAAATGTCTCTAGAGACAGATTATAATAAGGTTTTGCAAGGCCAGGATAAAAACTGAGCATTTCCCAAAACACTTGAGAGTATACTGTATGTGTGGTGTGTGTTTATGTGTGAGTAAGTGCAGGCATGGCACACACATGCTTGTGATTTATGAGTTTGTATTTTGGGAAGAGGAGAGGAGCACCTTCCTTCTTTTGGTAATTCTGCATATTTCACTCCTTTCGAGCATGGCTGGACCTCCCCACCCTACCCCACCCCGGCTGTGAAATTCGGCTGATGTCTATGCATGTTCTTTTCAGAGCAGTCTTATCAGAAGGGTGCAGCAGGGAAGGGGGCTGGTTCTGATTTTACCCCAAACAGAAAGGAGATAACGAAAAAAATGAAGGTGGGGAGGAGGAAACACAATTTACAAGAGCCTAGACCAGACATGTCAAACACAAGGCCCGGGGGGGGGGGCGGATGCGGCCCGCAAAGTGGTTTCATGTGGCCCGCGAAGCCATTCTGGAAACAGTGAGCGAACGGCCCCCACTGCCTTGGCCCTGGCCCAGGCCGGCCGGGAGCCAATGTACAATGTTGTGACCATCTATGCTGAAATGCATTCAGTCTTAGCTCCACAAGGCCGTCTGGAAACAGCGAGGAACCAGCCCCTGCCGTATCGCCCCCGCCCCCTGGGTGCATGCTGGGGAGGTGTCACCCTTTGTGAGGCATGAAGAAATGGACCATGCCTTGGCGCTTGCCCCGGTCCCACCCCCTTCTGCCAAAGACCCTCAGATCTGTCCCACTCCTGCCCAGGCCCCCACAGGCACCCTTGACGCGAACGATGTAGAGCTGGCCATGCCCACCCAGTAGGCCACACCACGCCATCCACGCCCACCCAGTAGGCCGCACCCACCCTGGCCCCCCTGGCCGCCCAGGGCAACCGCAATGCTGATGCGGCCCTCAATGAAATTGAGTTTGACACCCCTGGCCTAGGCATAAGATCCACT